TAACAACTTAAAAAAAAAAGAAGCCAAATCCTTTCTGATACCATGACATGGCTTATGTGTTAATTATATGTACACCCAAAAAAAAAGTTATAGATAAAACATGTGAGTTATTATTTTTAGGTAGTTAAATAAATGTATAAATTATAAATACACATCCAAAATTTCTTCAAAATATGAAATATTTCATGTGATTTTAAAAATTATATCATGTCCCTTGAAGTTTTTTACTTCATAATAAATGGTCATTTTACCAATAAATCATTTAGTCACAGCGATTATTGATGTCAACAGTATATTTCAATAAATAATTAAACCAATTTTATTATTATATGGTAGAGCATTTAGAAATTTTATTTTTTACGATGATTATTTCTTACTCATTAAGCTTTTCAAATTTATGTAAATTAGTACCCGCTGCATACGATTCTATTAACAGTTCAGAATAAACAAATCTACCAATTACCTGTAGGCGGGGTAATTTCCAAACTGCCCTCGCACTTTCTTTGGAGCTTGCACCCTCTAGCCAATCCAAGCGTGCACTCCTCTTGAAATATTTCTCAGCACGAAGGCCGAAAAAATACAAATAAGAGCTTTATACATGGGATGAAGCAGATAAATAGTGTAAAATAAACGAACAAAAACAACAGATCTTACCCTGCACCAATAATAATATGCTGTGGCAGTGGCCCTAACAACCTCTCCATCATACCTAGATGTTCCAAGTTCTCATTGTCTAAACATTCCGAGACTTGCCCAAAAGTCCCTACAATTATATTACACTATGGATTTAATTCATCGCATGAATTAACAATGATGGGATCATGGAATGTCAATTTGAAAGTTTATGGAACCCGAAAAGTGAGTGTTTCATATTAATACCAATGTCTAGAAGACTCATATTAATAATAAAAATAAATAATAAATAAAAAAAAGAAGGAAAGAAACAGATAAAGGGAGAAGGAAAGAAGCTGAAGGAAAAACTAACTTTCTCCCATTTTACTCAGAATCTTGTCTGCAAGTACAAGTAAATAAAATATGTTATTGGTGAACAGATTACAAATCAAAGAAAAAACTGAGCACATGGATCCACAAATAATAGGACATATCCAAACCGAAGATCAATTAGTTTGTTATTTTCAAAACTGTTTTTAGAAATGGGTTAGAGAACCATTTTGTAGGAAGCACCATAACACTATTTTCTGTTCTCTATTTTGTGGTTTCCAGTTAGGAATAGTATTATGAACACACACACCCAAAAAAAAAAACACGAGTCCACAAAATTTTCACAACTTTCAGAAAAAATGTTTGAGAGCATTTTGGAAACCACTTCTATAGCGATCCCGGATTTACCCTTGTTGTATAGTGATCCGGACATGTGTCCGTGGATGTTGGTAGTTGATCATTATCTCGTTTACATCCTTTCTTACTTTGTATTTGAGTTATAGGATGTGTTGGGCAGGTTTGTTACAGGTTGGTTGAGTTTAGAAACCAAAACTAGTTGCCCAGATTTTGGCCTGTCCGCTCGAGCGGGGAGTTTTACGCTCGAGCGGGGAATACACCCATCCAGTATTTCCTGTGCAGTGTTGGACGCTCGAGCGGGGGATTGGTCGCTTGAGCGGGAGGTTGTGACTGACGCTCGAGCGGGGCTTCGAGTGCTTGGGCGGGGACTTGTTGTGTCGAGATGCTGGGAGAGTGCATCCGGCGCTCGAGCGGGAGTTTTGCCCCTCGAGCATGAATCTGTGAGTGCCGCTCGAGCGGGGGTTTGGAAGCTCGAGCGGGGCGACTGGGTTTAAGTTCCGAGTTTTGACTTTTCAAATCACTTTTTCACTTTCTCTTCTCTCTCCTACTTTTCCAAAAACACCATTGTTGAGCCTCTCACTCTAGAACTCTACCTTCTCTCTAGGTTTTGATCTAGTAGGAGTGATTTGCTCATCTTTGGCCTTTACAAAAAAGTTATTGATCGTCGAGGGCTATGTTTTAATCTGAAAATTTCGGGATTTGGAGCACGTTGGGTTTTGTCATCTTCTCCCTTGGGGCTCCGGATTTGAGGTAGGGATATCCTACTCCTCTCTATGGATTTTGTCTTTAAACTTTAGTATTTTGAGATGTTGGGGTTGGTTTGGTAATTTTGTGAAAGTTTGGGGCTTTTGTGTTATTTTACAAAAACTGGGATTTTATTTATAATAAACCTAGATGCATGTTTGGCATAGAGAAATGGAATAAATGTTGAATCATTGATGAAAACGGGACCTAAGGGTTGTAATGTTAATTATGGAAAATGACCTAATCACATCGTTTAATTAATTGGGAGAATTAATTGTGAGAAATGAGGAAATGAAATGAAATTGTTGAGATTGGGAGCGCATGGGGTTAAAGGGTGTAGCTGAATTATTTATCACTCACCGAATTGAAATGTTGATTGAATATCCATTTGTGCATTTATTTTCTGTTTAACTTGGACTCATAAGTCGTATGACATAAATATGTGATTTATGTGAATGTATCAGTGTTGGCCATCTATCAATTGCTAATCTTTTAGTCATTGTTCATGGTTGGTTTAGTGTATTTCTACTGGGCTGTGGCTCACCCTATATGGGAATATTATTTTCAGGTACAGGTAGCATGCCACCTCCAAGGTCATAGCTTGGGAGGCTAGAGGCAGACAGATTTTTGTTGTTTAAGTTCCTTTTGATGTATTACATGTATATTCAAGCCGAGGGCTTAATGTGTAGATGAGTTAGTACTCTTTTGTTGTAACCAAGTGTTAACTTGGAAAGCTGTAAGCCCGTAGGGCATTTTGCTTTTGTTGTTAACATGTAATACTTTTGTAATGAAACTCTGATGAATAGAAGATTGTGGATATTTCATATGTCAATGAATGTTTTATTTGATGGGTTTAATGTTATTATTTTGAGGGCGTTACAATTTCTTAATCACATGATGTGTCCTTTTGAATCTTTTAAAAGCAGACTGGACCAGCAAGTTTGCATTGGGCCCGGACACATTTGGGATAAACTTGTAGCATCCTTTTGAAAGAAAAACCACCTTTTTCAACAGAAAAAAACACAAAAAACAAAAAACAGACTGCCAATTTGATCCGTGAAAACTGCTTATAAGTCAACAAAACTGGGCAGTCCATACATCATACAACTGAAAAAATTAGTTGAGCAAGAAGCCAACCATAGTCAGCCATGAACTTCTGTTGAATCAACGCCATCTCTGCCTCAGACAGCTTTGAGTTTATAGTCCTTTTTGCTGGTAACTACTCCTCTCAACCTTTGATGTTTCCAAAACTTCATATTCATCCTTACATTCTTGCTGCCCCATTGAGTCTTTCCTATTTGATCGGAGTTCATATGGTTTTCCATCCCTTTGCGATCATATTGCTGCAGTCCATTGTCGATAAGTTTTCGAGAACCCTTTATGTTGTCTATGAAGAGGCTACCGAGAAGGCAACCCATCAAGACCGATCAATCTGGCAATAACATTCGGTGGCCGTCCATCAACGTGTACTGTTACAAGCATACACTTAGCTATGTAGACACAGAAACTACGCTTAGATATGTAAACACATAAACAAATTAAAACAGAGAAACACAGAAACTCCACTTTTTTTCCTTTTGATCTTCATTTCTCCTAAAAACCTTCCTAGGGTCTGGGAGTGAGTCTAGACCCATGAGTCTTGCGACTACTCCCAGGGTCTTGACTTGGGTTTTGAAATTCTTTTTTGGGTTTTCGAAGGTGGTGGTGGTGGTGGTAGGGATGTCGGTGGTGGGGATGGACAGTTGGGTTAGGAGGCTGCCGATGCAGAGGAGGCAGCAGAGGATGCCGGAGAAACACTTGAACTTGCAATTCTGCGACTTGGCCATGTTTGAGAGGGAGAGAGAGAGAGAGAGAGAGAGAGAGAGAGAGAGAGGCTCTGTGGAAAGGCAGCAAAAGGCAACAAAACTATAAAGGCATGGTTTGGTACAATATACAGGGAGGAGTGATCCGTGTCGTCATTTTACCAATTTGAATCTAATTTCCATAATTTGAATCTAATTTCGTTCTTATTTTAAGACTTATTAGGTAAAATATTTATATAAAAAATTAAGATGATTAGATATTAATTGTTATATATTTAAGTTAAATTTATATTATAAAAAATAGATAATTATTTTTATTTGTCGTCTATTTTTTTGAAACACATATGCTTCAAATATATAGCTACTGATATTAAATTATCTTAACTTTTTGTGTGAATATATTTAATTAAAGAGTTTTAAAAAATGAACAGTTCAAATCATCGGAATCGATTCTAAAATAGACCTACTAAATCCAAACGCTCTCCCAAATTAATAACAACTTAAAAAAAAAAAAAATAGCCAAATCCTTTCTAATACCATGACATGGCTTATGTGTTAATTATATGTACACCCCAAAAAAAAAAAAAAGTTATAGATATAACATGTTTGAAGTTTTTTTTAGGTAGTTCAATAAAATGGATAAATATACACATCCGAAATTTATTTAAAATATGAATTATTTCATGTGATTTTAAAAATTATATCATGTCTCTTGAAGTTTTTTACTTCATAATAAATGGTCATTTTACCAATAAATCATTTAGTCACAGCGATTATTGATGTCAACAGTATATTTCAATAAATAATTAAACCAATTTTATTATTGTATGGTAGAGCATTTAGAAATTTTATTTTTTACGATGATTATTTCTTACTCATTAAGTTTTTCAAATTTATGTAAATTAGTACCCACTACATACGATTCTATTAACAGTTCAGAATAAACAAATCTACCAATTACCTGTAGGCGGGGTAATTTCCAAATTGCCCTCGCACTTTCTTTGGAGCTTGGACCCTCTAGCCAATCCAAGTGTGCACTCCTCTTGAAATATTTCTCAGCACGAAGGCTGAAAAAATACAAATAAGAGCTTTATACAGGGGATGAAGCAGATAAATAGTATGAAATAAATGAAAAAAACCAACAGATCTTACCCTGCACCAATAATAATATGTTGTGGCAGTGGCCCTAACAACCTCTCCATCATACCTAGATGTTCCAAGTTCTCATTGTCTAAACATTCCAAGACTTGCCCAAAAGTCCCTGCAATTATATTACACTATGGATTTAATTCATCGAATGAATTAACAATGATGGGATTATGGAATGTCAATTTGAAAGTTTATGGAACCGAAAAAGTGAGTGTTTCATATTAATACCAATGTCTAGAAGACTCATATTAATAACAAAAATAAATAATAAATAAAAAAAGAAGGAAAGAAACAGATAAATGGAGAAGGAAAGAAGCTGAAGGAAAAACTAACCTTCTCCCATTTTACTCAGAATCCTGTCTGCAAGTACAAGTAAATAAAATATGTTATTGGCGAACAGATTACAAATCAAAGGAAAAACTGAGAACATGGATCCACAAATAATAGGACATATCCAAACCGAAGATCAATTAGTTTGTTATTTTCAAAACTGTTTTTAGGAATGGGTTAGAGAACCATTTTGTAGGAAGCTCCATAACACTATTTTCAGTTCTTTGTTTTGTGCTTTCCAGTTAGGAATAGTATTATGAACACACACACCCAAAAAAAAAACACGAGTCCACAAAATTTTCATAATTTTTAGAAAAAATGTTTAAGAGCATTTTGGAAACCACTTCTTAATTACATGATGTGTCCTTTTGAATCTTTTAAAAGTAGACTGGACCGGCCAGTTTGCATTGGGCCCGAACACAGTTGGGATAAACTTGTAGCATCCTTTTGAAAGAAAAACCACCTTTTTCAACGGAAAAAAACACAAAAAACAAAAAACAGACTGCCAATTTGATCCATGAAAACTACTTATAAGTCAACAAAACTGGGCAGTCCATCTGTCATACAACTGAAAAAATTAGTTGAGCAAGAAGCCAACCATGGTCAGCCATGAACTTCTGTTGAATGAACGCCATCTCTACCTCAGACAACTTTGAGTTTATAGTCCTTTTTGCTGGTAACTACTCCTCTCAACCTTTGATGTTTCCAAAACTTCATATTCATCCTTACATTCTTGCTGCCCCATTGTGTCTTTCCTATTTGATCAGAGTTCATATGGTTTTCCATCCCTTTGCGATGATACTGATGCAGTCCATTGTCGATAAGTTTTCGAGAACCCTTTATGTTGTCTATGAAGAGGCTGCCGAGAAGGAATCCCATCAAGACCGATCAATCTGGCAATAACATTCGGTAGCCGTCCATCAACGTGTACTATTACAAACATACACTTAGCTATGTAGACACAGAAACTACGCTTAGATATGTAAACACAGAAACAAATTAAAACAGAGAAACAGAAACTCCACTTTTTTCCTTCTGATCTTCCTTTCTCCTAAAAACCTTCCTAGGGTCTGGGAGTGAGTCTAGACCCATGAGTCTTGCGCCCGGGGTCTTCACTTGGGTTTTGAAATTCTTTTTTGGGTTTTTGAAGGTAGTGGTGGTGGTGGTAGGGATGTTAGTGGTGGGGATGGATGGTTGGGTTAGGAGGCTGCCGATGCAGAGGAGGCAACAGAGGATGCCGGAGAAACACTTGAACTTGCAATTCTGCGACTTGGCCATGTTTGAGAGAGAGAGAGAGAGTGTGTGTGTCGCGACCCCAAACCGCCCCTAGTAGTTTGGTGTCGTGATGGCCAGTAATCCGAGATTACCGAAGGCCAACTTTGAAAATTCACACACAATCAGAGTATAAATATAGGGGGCTCACAAGTGCGAAAACAATAATCTAAAATACAAGTGGTCCATAAGAGCAGTGCATAAGTCAAATGAAATGGCATACATCTTTACATAGCTTTACAACTTGAATACAAAAACAATGAAGTACAAAATACATATTACATCTTGATCAAAAGGCTTCTCAAGCCGACACGTGTAAATTACAAGTATTATAAGCCGAGAAGCATAATTTTCAAGACTGCCGACGTGAATACAAGTTAGGCCGACATAACAAAACCCAAAACAAGCTCGCGAATCACACCTAGGCGTCACCGCCTTCCTGCTCATCACCTACATATATATAGAGAGGGTGAGCTTGGATACTTAGTGAATGACATAAGTAATAAAGAGGTTTGCATGACTGGTATTCAAGATCTTTATCAAACAATACATAACATAATTAGTGCAAGTCAAGGGATGAACCAAGTCCATCTTCCAAATCTGCCAAGTTTCAAGGGATGCTTACTTACATCATTATAATACAAGTGATGACATCTCGGCAAACAAATCCACGCAGTAAACCGGCAGTGGCAAACAAGGCAAGACAAGACAAGGCAAGACAAGGGAGATATCTCAATTCAATGGTGTCGTTGCATTATAGTCCCCTGACACTAAGGACTTGTGCTACTAATGCTTAGAGTCCCCTAGCACGTACGGACTTCCAAACTTTGTGCTACAAATGCTTATAGTCCCTTAGCACGTACGGACTTCCAAACTTTGTGCTACAAATGCTTATAGTCCCTTAGCACATACGGACTTCCAAACTTTGTGCTACAAATGCTTATAGTCCCTTAGCACATACGGACTTCCAAACTTTGTGCTACAAATGCTTATAGTCCCTTAGCACATACGGACTTCCAAACTTTGTGCTACAAATGCTTATAGTCCCTTAGCACATACGGACTTCCAAGAATGTCATCAAAACAAGATAGTACGTATATTTTCCAACTAGGAATAACCATTCATGCTTACAAATACTTTTCAAAACGAAGCAAAACAAGACTTTTATCAAAGCATTATAACATAGCTTTATTAAAAATACCACTCACTTAGTTCTTCAAACGTTGGGGTCAAGGCAAGTCCGAGCCATACAAACACATGTCAAGGTCTGTTGAATGCACTTTCAAACAAGTTTCACATGCATGCAGATGATCTCGGCATTTCTCAAGACTAAGTCAAATCAAAACAAACACAGTTCTTTATCTCGGGAAAACATGCTGGGCAACTACCAGGTCTAGGCCGAGGTTCCACACCCCCTTGCCGAGGTGTGGCCTCGATGGCCACATTCAAAGGAATGAAGTTGGGAAAAAAAAAATCTGAGTTTCCCTTTCTTGAAAAACATGATGAACATGAAGAATATGAACATGAGGAATATGAATGCAAAGATCATAATTTGCTGTTACAAAATCTGAGATTTCCTGCTATGAGTTCAAAAACATGGACCTGGGCACCCATAGTCAAGGATCTTGTGAGAACAAACATAAAAACATGAATCTTAATGCAAACTTTCAGATCAAACAAGACTTTTTCTTCAAGAGCACATGAACACTATTGTCTCTTTCTAAACCAACTTTAAATCGATGCATGACATGCAAAACAGGTTCGATTGTGCAATGCAGCTAGATGATCAATAAGAACGACGAGAGTGAATCAAGAATCTAACCTCAATACACGAATCTAACGGTTCAAACTCCAAAGATCGAGCTTGGTAGTCTACTTTCTCCTCAAGAACTTCTTCTTCCTAAAGTCTCTCTCTCTCTCTCTAAAAGACAAGGATGTAATACAAAAATGTATATTTCTGAGTCTGTCGGCTGACTTAACCCTCTGTTGGGGCACGTGGCAGCGGCTGGTTGGTGCTACTCAAAAAGGTGGTTGAGTGACAAGACAAAACTATGACAAAGTGTGTTCAACAAGCAAGATGGCATGGGCACTTCGGTAGGCAATGATCTCGGCTAAAAGCAAGGCATCGGCAAGTAAGGAAACAATGACCTCGGCTAGGAAGGACAACACTTGACTAAGCTGTGCCACACCTTGGCCTAGATGTGCCACACCTCGGTCTAGGTCATACCACTCCGGGACAAGATCACTTAGGTGCAAAGGTAACATCTCGGCCTAGATGATACACACCTCGGCCTTGGTGATGAACACCTCGGCCTAGATAATGACATCTCGGCCAATATGTCAGGGCGAAGGTGGAGGTCAAATAGAGTGGTTCCAAGATAATTCTAGACTGAAGATGACCTCGGCTAAACTCACACCAAGCAAGATACAAATCATGCTGTAACACTTAAACGAACAAGGACAAGACTTGAAATGCAAGTTTACAAGACAGAATCACATGCATGCATATGAGCATAGTTAGGATGGCGTGAGGGTTATTACATCCTACCCCCCTTAAAGAAGTTTGGTCCCCGAACTTGAGTTACCTTTATTCGAGAATAACTCCAGGTATCGGACTTTCATTTCCTCTTCCATTTCCCACGTAGCATCTCCGCCGTAATGCTCTTTCCATTCAATCTTCACCATCGGTATTGCCTTATTTCTCAATCGCCTCACCTGTTTATCGATGATGCGTATCGGCTCCTCTTCATAGCTTAGGCCTTCATCAACCACAATCCCGAAATGGTCAATCGCGTGTAGTGGATCCCGTATATACTTCCTCAACGTCGAGATATGAAACACATTATGAACTTGACTTAATCTCGGTGGTAAAGCAAGTCTGTAGGCAACCGGGTTAACTTTCTCAAGAATTTCAAACGGTCCAATGTAACGAGGTGCCAATTTACTCTTCTTCCCAAATCTTGAAACTCCTTTCATCAGTGAGGTTTTCAAGAACACATGATCCCCTACTTCGAATTCTAACTCCTTTCTTCTCTGGTCGGCGTAACTCTTTTGTTGGCTCTGAACGGTTCTGATTCTCTGTTGGATGAGCTTAATCTTTTTCAGTTGTCCTTTGGACTAAATCGGGGCCGATCAGAGCTTTGTCTCCTACTTTGGTCCAATATATCGGCGATCTGCACTTTCTTCCATACAAGGCTTCATACGGCGCCATGCCAATGCTAGCTTGGTAACTGTTGTTGTAAGCGAATTCTACTAATGGCAAATGCACTTCCCAGCTTCCCTTGAAGTCCAATACACATAGTCTAAGCATGTCTTCAAGTATTTGAATTGTTCTCTCTATTTGGCCATCGGTCTGGGGATAAAAGGCTGTACTAAACCTTAATTCGGTCCCCAAAGCCCTTTGTAAACTCTGCCAAAATCTAGAAACAAATTTTGGATCTCGGTCTGACACGATGGACATCGGCACACCATGAAGCCTAATGATCTCATTCATATACAACACAGCAAGTCGATCAGTATTGAGCAA